TGGAGATTATATAATTATTTTCGAAAGAATTTTGTGTTTAATAATATTTTTAAAAATAAAATTGATTGATTTTTTTGTTCTATTTTAATTTGAGTTTTATTTTTTTTTGTTATAGAATCATCATAACGACGTTGCAGATGTAACTCCGCTGTTGCGCATCAGATTGGTGAGTGATAAATTAAATTGTTTTTATTGAGATAACGGATGTGTGATTAATTTTATTAATATACTATATATATAAATGCATATATGCATCAATTTAATAAAAATATAATAAATGTATGTATAATATTCCATACATCCGTTACTTTAAAATGAGTAAGTTGTAACAGATTAGGATAAACTTAATCTTGGATTAGGATAAACTTAATCCATGTCTTTTATTATGGAATTTATCATACATGCATTGTTAAATTTATAATAACACATTATACATTATAGTTTGAATTATTTTTGATCATTTTTATAAGTCGCCACTGCGACTTATAAAAATGATCAAAAATAATTCAAACTATAATGTATAATAGCTTGTTAATTTAATTAAAATAAAATAAAATTATAAAGTAAAATTATTTAATTCAAGACTATTATTAAAGGCTCAAATTTTATTTACTAATTGTAAATTCATAATATTTTAATGTAGCCCATATATTATACAATTTTTTGATCTCGCTTTTTTATAAAAAATGTTTTACGATTATTAATTTTTACTATTTATCTCAATGCACTAACTTTAGCCTAAACTTTTATAATTTATCCATATGTAGTAACGGAGTTTTATACTAGTTAAAGTAATAACATGATGTAAGATCTAATACAATTTTGTCAAGGAATAGAAGAATTTTATCTCGTATTATTTTAAAATCATCAGAATTTTGCATTACTTAAAATACTCAATTTTAAAATAATAAATTATACAAAAAATAATTCTAATAATTTACAAAATACAAAGAGATATGTCTGTTCATGTGAGAAAAAATTGTCTCTTTCGGATTTTATATCATTCATCTGAATTTCTCATCTTAATTCGCATGTTTTGAGATGAGATTCAGCAATGAATCGTTCAAATCATAAAAATACATGGGCCTTGAATTTTATTGAATGATAATCGATTTAATTTTCAGTTTATTTTTCAATTAATGTTTATATTGTAAAATTTATATTAAAAAATTTAATCTTGTTTCATAATATTCGAAATTCTCGAAATCAAAACATTAAAAATATTTTATATAAAGATTTTTTTTATTTAGATTTTTATTTTTAGTCGCAATTTATATTTTTCATTTTCAATAATGAATCAATCACGAAAACAAACGCGAAATTTATTTGTATATTAGTAGAATTATTATTATTATTATTATTAATAATTGTTCATATTGATATTTAATCAATTTCGATGGTCTCTTCACGACGAAAAGCGTAAAATCTTAATTGCCGATGATGTTAGTCGGC